TGTGGTTTTGTATTTGCACTTTGTGGTTTTGGGACGGTCAAAGCCCGTGGGACAGAAAGGAGGAGCCGGCGCGAGGGGAAAGTGCTGGAAGGGGGTTCGGCGGGCACAAGGGATGTGCCGATGGGGAGACTCTGCCTTTCCAAAAAAAGGGGAAAAAGGTGCATAACTGATGGTTGATCCCCAGCGGCCGCAGAAATGCCAGGCTGAGCGGAGAAATGCACGGAGACGGAAGCTGAGTCCAAGGGGCTGAGGTTCGACCTGGCCAGGGGACGGCTGCAGGCGGCCGCTGGCGGCTGAACCTGAGCTAATGTTTAGCTTTGGACGTGGCCAAGTTGTCCAAGGGGCAAAGGAGGCCGAGGGTAGGCGCCCCAGGTGGGGCGGAGGGTGGCTGCGAGCTGGCGTGGCGCCCAGGGCTCCCGCACAAGCTCTGGCTCAGAGGGGTGTGATTTCTGGGTGTATTTTCTACTGGTTTTGTCCTGGTTCGGAGGGAGGATGTTTGCTGGTAAGGCCTTGCAGAGCTCCCCTGTTTAGCTCAGCTCTTTATATAATGCTCAGCCCCTCCTGATTTATTTTATTCCCAGCACACCAGGCCCCAGAGGGGCATTTGTAAGGGCTGCACTAAGGGGATATTGTGGTGGGAAGTGCGAGGAACCTGCTGGCATCCCTGACAAGGCTGCAAAAGTGTCCAAAAAGCAAGGGTGTCCCCGGCGCTTGCACAGCTCGTCCCGCTAGCCTGGATAACCCACCCTGGGAGGCACCTCGTCTCTATTTAAACCCCTCTCCCCTGGGACGTTATTAAGGACATGCTTATTAAATTGCTCCGTGTTGCTTTGGCATGGCTCGTGTCCCCATCGCCACCTGCGCTCCCTGCGCAGCTCACAGAGGTGGCAAGCATCCCTGTCGTTTTTACTCCACAGCTTCCCAGACCTTTACATTTTTGAGTTTTTGCCTTGCCAGGCAATTTTGCACAGCAACGTTTTCCAATCCCACATTATTCTAATGACACCGACGAAGAGCTAAAAATAGGAGAAAGGCATTTTCTGCCTCTCTCCCACCAGCCGCTGCCAGGAGCGCGGGGACAGCGCCGGCAGCGGGAGCCTCCG